ATAATACCATTCTTTATGACAGTATTGTTGTGAGTTTTATGTAACATAGAACATGGTTAAGTGCCAAAAAACTATTAACTATTATTATTATATATGTAAGTAAAATTTATTTTCTGTATATTACCATAGCCTTCTAAAACTGTTGCTAGTTTGGAGATTAGTCTCATGTAAATTATAAGCCAGGTGTCTATCCAAAATTCATGCTTCGGCTTCTGGGAGGAGGGAGTAGAGGTACTTATCCCTATTCCTCCCACTATATACAACTAAAAATCTAGGACACTGTATATAAAACAAACATGGGAAGATTTTCAAAAGTGGAAAGAAAAAGGTGGCAATCTGGGGAACTCAGAACCCCAGGATCTACATGACGGTGAATTCCCTGCATTTTCTCACCTCATACATCCCAGGCTGGGTGCAGAAGAAGCCAGTAACCCAAAAAATGCTAATGACAGAGACAAAAAATTCTCCAAGAACAGCCTGCCCTCCTTTCCAATGGGCCGGGAAAGGGGCAGCCTCGCAAAATAGCAAACATTTAGACAATAACCACAGAAAAGCCCACTCCTACAAACAAAAACTAGACTGTCACCCTTGTCATGCTGTAAGGACGGGCCAAAACTCTCTCCCTTCCTCCCGAGTGGTGTCAGAGGAACCTAGTGGATTCAGGACTTTAACCACGGCTCAGTGGTAACAAAGGCCACCCCAACAGGGCCGGTGGAGGCTTTGTGGGAAGCAGTAAAGAGATGTTCTGCCCAACCCTCTACCCTCCAGCTAGGGTGGTGTCAACAGAGGCCAAGTGGGGAGGTGATTTTTGACCAAAGTTCAAAAGTAATTCAATGGAGGAAAGATAAGCTTTTCAACAAATAGTGCTGGAGCAACTGAATATCTGTAAGCAAAAGAATATAGACCTCGACCTAAACTTCAAACAGCTTACAAAGAATTAACTCAAAATAAATAATACATTTAACTATAAAATGTAAAACTGTAAGACTTTTAGAAAATAACATAGGAGAAATTTGGGGGGAACCTAGGCTTGGTGAAGAGTTGGTAGACATGATGCCAAAAGTACAGTCCATAAAAGTGAAGAATCAATAAATTTGACTTCATCAAAATGAAACTTTTGCTCTGTGAAAGATCTTGCTAAGAGGATGAAAAGACAAGCTACAGAGTAGGAGAGAATATTTGCAAACATGTCTGACAAAGCACACATCTAGAACTCTTAAAACTGAACAGTAAAAGCAAATAATGCAATTAGAAAATGGGCAAGAAACATGATGAGACATTTCATTGAAGAGGGTAGAATGCATGTGAAAAAAATGTTTGGCATCACGTGCTATTAGGGAAACACAAATTAAAGCCATGATGAGATATCACTGTATACATTCTCGGCATGATAAAATTTTAAAAAACAGTGATAACACAAAATGCTAGCAAGAATGCAGATACTTGATATATTTTACATTGCTGGTAGGAATATAAAATGATACAGCCACTCTGGAAAACGGTTTGGCAGTTTCTTAAAACAATTAAACATACACTTACCATACAACCCAGCAATTGTACTCCTAGGCATTTATCTCAGAGAAATGAAACATTATTGTAACAGCAGTGTTGTAAGCCAAAAACTGAAAACAAACAAAATGTAAGACTGCTGAGCAGTAAAAATAAATGATGTATTATTGATACACACAACAACTTGGATGGTTCTCAAGGACATGCTAAGTGGAAAAAGAAAAATCTCTAAAGGGCACATACACTGTGAGTCTATTTCTATAAAATGGTAAAATTTTAGGGACATAAAACAGATTAATAGTTGACAAGGGTTAGGAATGGTGTAGGGAGGGAATTGCTTGTTGCTGTGAAGGGATAGCACAAGGGGGCTCTTTGTGATGGTGAAATAGTTCTGTATCTTGATTGTCCTGATGGTTACAGAAGTCTACACGTGAGATAAAATAACACAGAATTATACACACACATCATGTCAATGTCTAATTCCTGTCTTTAATATTATATTATAATTACGTAAGATGGACCATTGGGGGAAACTGAACACAGGGTACAGGTGTCCTCTATCTACTACCTTTACAACTTCCTGTGAATCTAGAATTACTTCCAAATAAAAAGTCTGTTTTGTTTTGTTTTAATTTCATTTGGGAGGCATTCCTGGGCAACAACAGAGGCTTAAATAACTTCCAGTCAGAAGAACCATGCTCTGAAAAGGGCAGTTGAAAGCAAAGTGCAACTCAAAGGAAGTTTGGCTACCAATTGAAGGGAAACACCATGCATAGAGACATCTGTGGCCAAGAGAACCATTACTCCTTTCCAATATGAGTTCCAAGTAGGTTTAACGGTTTTTAACCCTTGACTGCAGATTAGAACTAAATGGAGTTTTTTTTTACGTCTTTAATATCCACCCCTACCTCCAGTAATTCTGACTCTTTTAAGTTAGATGATCATAATTATCCTAGAAGATTCTAAAGTACAATCTGCATTGAGGAACACCATATTACACTAAAGAATGTAACAGCAGTTCAGTGTCTGAAATGTGACACTCTTTTGAGCCCTGTAAAGGCAAAATAAACCCAAAGATTTATGTGATTCTAGTGGTAAGGTAATTTTAAGCCCAGTTTCTGAACCCCCTGAACCTCCTAAATCTTAATTAATGGAGCAATAGTCAGAACCCAAGCAGTTTAAAAATACCATAGGTGGTTTTTCAATGTGCTGCATTTAAAAAAGAAATCAGTGTTTTATCTGTTGGATATCACTGATTCTCTCAAATGATCCTTTTCCTTCTTCACGGCTATTAATAAGATGCAAGAAAAAAAAGTGCTCTAAATTTCAAGCACTCATGTGTGCTGAAATACTTCTAGAAGGGGAAATCCTGTATAGTGTAAACCAAGGTAAAGAGCAGCAGGGAGCCTCTCCAGGAGAGGAGAATGACAAATGTGTTCTCTAAGGAGGCTTTGGCACAAATTTAAAAATTTAAAATTATTAAGCTTTATATTCATTACTATAATTATGAAAGATTATCAGAATTCCACATTAATATTTATAGTTTCAATTAAACTTTATTTAACAACAGTTAATGATGTTCCGGAGCAAAGCTGGATATTACAGTTAATATGTATCTGAGATATAGGGCAAAATCCTGGAAACAGTTTAGGAGCTAAAGTAGAGAGCTTCTGTTCCTGTCTCTGCTACCCTGCTTACTGGTTATTTGACCCTGGGTGAGTTCTTTATCAGTCTCCTCATGTGTAAATTTGAAATAAAAATATTCCAAGGAATTAAGAAAATACTAATATGAGAAAGCACTTTACGCTGCAGAGTGCTAAACATTTGTCATTGTCATAATTATTACCATTTTAAAAATTCAATTCTTAATTGTTAGCTTCCCGCTTATAAGTCAGTGAAACTGACTTTTTAAAAACCTTGTGGTTTATATAATTAGAGCAAGTTTCCCCTGATCAAAACTACTGTATGGAGAATCAACAGTTAATTGAAGGGTGATGGTTTCCAAATTGCAAATGCCTTGGGCATATTTGCTGACACTGATGAATCCTATTAATTATAACTCATGGACACGGCCAGCTCCCTTGGCATATAGAACCATGTGGCCCACAAATACTGGATGCCATTTACAATTTTCCTTTTAGAAATCTAAAAGATACATTTGATTTCTATAACTAGCTTTTCCATTAAAGGGCACTTCAGTTGTGCTGGCACTAAATTTTTAAGCCTTAGATTTAGGAGCTGAGGCTTTCTAATAGTGTACAGCTAGCAGTCAGTATTGTACACCCTAAAGCAATGTGGAGGACCACAAGGATGTCAGGAAGAATTTCAAAATGTCTGCAATATTCAATACTAATTGGGAAGTATGAACATGATGTTGAATAGTTTGAGAATGAAAATATAAAATTATACAACAATCCTAAATAATAAATTACAAATAATCCTCAGTGAATGATTTATAGAATGATCGAATAATTTAAGAACTAGCTATGACTTAGATATTGAAAATCACAAATAATATTTTTATTGGGACCATTTTAGCATTACCCATAAATTATAACTTTGTAATTAATAAAAATATTTTTAATATGCAAGTATGGTGACTTGCCTTCTTCTCTCTAGACATGTAACTGATTTCGTGTTTCTATTTCAAATCCATTAATTCCACATCTTTAAGAAAATTACTGTTAAAAATTAAGATTTAAAGTACAGATGTAAACCTGATGATTCCTCAATATCCGTCATTTTCTTTACTGCAGCTTTCTTCCTCCCTCAAGTTGAGATATCTACTTCAAAGTACACCTTTACACATGTCCTTATATGTGCAAGCAATAGGCAATGTGATTTTATTGGCTTGTCTGTTTTGTTTATACCTCTTTTTCTCCCAAACAATTACAATGTCCTATTATAAATAGCCACATCATAACATGAAATAATTAGCCAAGGAAACTGAGATAAATAGCATAATGAGCATTCAAAAAATAAGGTGAAGCTCAAAGTAGTTTAGAATGCATATGGCCCAGAGTACTTGCCAGAGAAAGGCTACAAATTTAGCTTTAGGAGGAAAATACGATTGATTAATAATACACAAGGTCCAGATGCTCAGGAGGTGTGGTTATTTCTGGGGCTGACATATGTGAGACATCTCTCCCAAGCATCATCATAAACTGGACCCTCTTTGATAGTAAATGACATCATCAACACCTCCTCTGCACCGGTGGTAAGTGTCACAGGACTTTTCTTATAGCCTCTCTCTAAGCTGGTTAATGCCATAGCATTAAAGTTCAGGAAAATTAATTTTACAGGATTCCAAACCATGTAGAACAGGGACCCAGTTCCCTAACGAGCAAGAAATATCGACTTGAACAGTAGCCAAATACACAGTAGCAAAGTGACTCCATCTTATTCCACGGTTAATTTTAAAGTTGACTAGAGGAAAGACTTTTATTGAGACCTTTATTTCATATGTAACAAGACAGAATTTGGAGGCTAGGGATGCTGTTACAATATTGTTTTAGATTGCTGGAGGAACACTCTGGAGCTATTGTGATAACTCCAACAACTGACTGGTTTTATTTAATCATATTTCTGTGATCTAAAAATCTCAAAAGAATTTGTCAAAATAATTATCTTAAAGTTGGATCAGAGAAGATAGTATTGTCCTTAAATTAAATTACAGAATATCTTATAAAAGGTTGAACTTAATGCTCCATTCAACATTTTTTTTACTGCCATACTATCAAAGTAATAATAATTGGCTATTGAGCACGCACAGCGTGAAAGGTGCTGAATAATATTCTTTTAAAAAGAGCAACTGATACTGTCCTCAGATGCAGAAATCTGTGCACATGCTATGTAAATATTTGAGGTCGGAATTTGGTTTGAAGTATTTAGAAAAGGGAAGGAGATACTTAAATGAGACAAATGGTTTAGAAGCTTAATGGAAACAGATGGATAGCAATTAGCGGGAAAGCTAAGACAGCTAAGCCAGAAGCTCCGCGGCAAACAGTTCCGCCGAAGAGGAGCAGGTGATGGGAGCCCGGGATGGGAGAACCGACAGAGGGTAAGTAGAAATTGCTTACTCCAGCTTTGTTTCGCCGTCACTTGAGAATGAAAGAATTTTAAAGTTGAAAAATGGCGTAAGCGGTGCTAGAAGATGAAAGTCCACGCCACGTCATCGTTTATTCCTCCTCTCCTACTTCCCATTTCCCTCCCGTCCTTCTTCCTTCTTTCTATTCGCTTCTCACAAAAAGCCAGGATGTGTGTTAACAGCTTTGTCGTCTTCTCCATTTTGTCAGAAAGGGCCACAGACTCCCTCACAACTGCAGCCTGGCGTTAATGTAAAGGAGAGAGGAAAAGAACCTGTACTTAAAAGGATAGGAGGATTGGGTGGAAAGGGATTGGCTACTAAATCTTTTTTTTCAGGTTCAGAAAGTCTAGAAAAACTCAATGAAGCACAGGAGGGAAGAGGCTAATATGGCTTAAAGTTTTACCAGGTTCACTTTCACGAGCAACAAGTTGTAAATTCCCAGCTCAGGAAATCAGTTTTAACTGGGAAAAGAGGGGCAAGCTGGAATAGGTACAGAATTGTTGCATTATTACTACTTGGTTTATTCAGATTATACTTAATATTGCACAATAAAATTCAAAATATACCATACTAATGATTTTAATTTCATGTTTTCTTTTTTTGCGGCGATCACTTAAGTAGCCTGAGACATTAGTATTGTGACAGGAAATTCTGGACGTACTTGTAAACTACTCACCTTCAAAATCTTGAAACATATATCTTGACCATTAAAAACCTAATTGAAATCATGTTATGTCAAATAAGATGAATAGTTCAAGAAACAATATACATGAAGAATGAAAATATTTGGGAGGAAAATAAATCTAATTACCCACTGGTGTGTGGGGGAAAGCAGGTGTTTGCTCTTAAGGATAGTAACTTTAATTGTGGCGATTCCTTGCTTTTTGGTGATGGAAAAGCCATTGGAGTTTTCAAAACACATGTCTATCAAATTATAATAATAACTGTGTATGTATACATCTTGAAGTGGAATACAAATTAAAGTTTAAATATTAAAATAAATATAAGTTATTGAATAACAAGAAAAATTAAAGATATATTAAAAATCACCTAGACTTGGTAGTTAGTGCCAAATATCTTCACAGAAGATTTAGCCAAACACTTTTAAATTTTTATCAGAGTGAGAAGTATTCAAAGGACTAACCCAAAGATAAGTGGCCAAAATTTTTGAAGAAGCATGAATTTTCAATTTCAATTTCAAAAAGCATGAATTAAGATTTTGTGTAGGAGTCGTATTATATGGCAGAAAAAAAGTGGCTGAATTTCAGAGGCCTGGATTTTAGAACACCCATTTTATCTTTTCATCACTCCAAATTTTCCTTTGTATATAAAATGAAAGCTTTGTACTAAATGTCTTGACTTCCTTTCTAATTCTCATACTTTATGAATCTGCAAAATCTTACGATAAGAGAACATACTCTCAATCCAAGATTAATGTTCAAAATTTTATTACTTTCCAGGATTCAAACTATACACACTATGATCTCATTTTTTCAAAGAATACTTACACATAGAAGAATTCTAGGAGGGTACACACCAAAGTACCAACACTTGCTTTATTTAACAGATGTTTATTATCACTACCATGTGCCAGGTTCTGCAGTCCTTGCCGTGGACATGGCGGGGAGCAGAGGGGCCTGGGCCTTGCCCTCATGCAGCATGTGGTCTAGTGGCTCTGTCTCTGGGTGGTGGAAGTGCAGTGTGGTTTTCTTTCTTTTTTTTTTAAATCTCACTTCTGAAGTTGCTACATTTAACACTTTTGTAATAAGAGAAAGTTACTACTTAAAACTATCCACTGTTTTCAAGAATCACAGTCCTTCTATATATCTGTACAATAATGTACAAAAGAATACTCAGAACTTGAGTGACTCCAGGATTTTTAACAAAAGCAAGGAAATTGATTCAATCTATTCTCACAAGTGATGGGTTTTTGTAAATTTTCTTGCTGATTTATTATTATATATCAGACCCTTGTGGCCAGGTGACCAGAGGATCCAGGTTAGGAACATCAGACTGCTTACAATTCTAGATCCTATCTAGAAACCTAGGAGACTCTTGTAAGCACTGTGATCACAAGATACCCAGAAGAAACTATTTTTAAATTAAAGTATTTTGGGCATATCTCAATAGTCAAATGCCCTATAGTAAAAATGGACAGTGCTACCCTTAGATTTGATCCTAAACTAGAGTAGCCTCTTTGACAAGGTTCATAATAGTGTCAAAATCCTTTCTTACAGGCCCACAGTGTTGCCCTCTTCTTGATTCATTTTTTTCCTAGTCATTGTCTGTTGATATCTGCTTAGTTTTGTATGACTCACTGTTGTTGTCTTATAGTTCTCCTTGTCTAAGGACCTATTTAGAGAAATCAGAAATTCCTTCAAACGTTTGCAATAGTTAGGTTTTTCAGCCAGAAATGCCTTTCTTTCTCATTACATTTCTGCAACTTTTCTTTCCTTTCTAAATTTTCTTTTCATAAATATCTTCTTCTAAATCCTCCATAAGCCTACATTCCACATGAATTTCACCTGATTACATTTTAGAAATTATTGCTGTTGTGCTGTTAGTTATTTTTTCCAATCTCATAATATATAGCTTCTTAGATATTTTCATTATTATGATTTTGTCATTAGTATTATTGCTATGATTATCAGTACTTGATTACTAATATTTAAAAGCAGACATATTTGTAAGCAACATACTAATTATAGCCGAAATGAATACACATTAATAAATGTGATATTGAGGATGGCCTAGGTAATAATATCAGAAAAAATGTTTTCATTTTTCAGTAATCTAGGTGGGAGTGTTATCATTTCTCTAGGGCATCCTAATTTAGTAATTTCAGTAATTTTGGAAAATTCAGGATAATATACTAGAAATAGCATTGATCTGTTAATTTGTAGAGCTGAATTTTAACCACTCTTCTCTCAGTGTCCTATAGTCTTTTTTGGAGAGGTGGAGGAGGCAATTAGGCTTAGTTAGTTAGTTTAGTTAGTTAGTTATCTATTTATTTTTATCCGAGTTACCTGGGATTGAACACAGGACCTCGTGCATGTTAAGCATGCACTCTACTAGTGAGCTATACCCTTTCCTGCATAGTCTTTAATAGTGGTATTTTATTATTTTGCACCTAAGCTACATTCATCATGCTACAGTTTAAGCCTGTGTCATGACATCGTCTAACCAGTAGAAATAGTCTCTATTTTTTATCTATAGTTTAAGGTGTATTAGGTTGAAATTTTCCCTCATTGTGTCTTAGCACCAACTTTTTGATTTATCTTAACAAAAATGTTTCAAGTCTTATGAATAACAAGGTTCTTTTGCAGATATGAATTCAAACTCTATCTCAGCCCTCAAAGAAATTTCAATCTAGCTAGGGAAATAAATTATAATAACCCAGATTTGGTTATTAGCTGAGCTTAATCTAAGTTCCTTTTGGGCTGTAGGGTGTAAACTACAAAGTGTACAGTGTAAACTTCATATTCATCTGAATATGAAGATAATCTGGCTACAACAGACCTCATTAATCACCAGTATTGATTCAGTAGTCCTGGCTGACTTGGCAGATTTACCTATTTCTCCTCACCTCTTGGCCCAGCATAGAGTACATATCATAAAATGTCTGAAGTGCTTTCCTCCGAACAACACTTTGATAGATATTATTATGTGTATTTTATACATAGGGAAATTAGGACTCAGAAGTTAAGGTCTTTGCCCAAGTGCCACATCTAGGATTCCTCTTGAGCCCAAGTCCCAATCTGCTCAGTAAAACATGGTCACTATGGAACCACTAATGTCAGAATCATTGTTCCTTTAGTAAATCCCCCAACCAACCACCTGGATGGGTACACAGAAACAGTAGAACTTGATCTGTGCAAAATTTGTGGAGAGTGTTGCCTTTTCTACATTCATAATTAAGGCATTTCTAGAAGGAATGAGAATTGAGAACTGCAATCAATTAACAGTCACTGCCCACAATATTGTGTTGTAAAGGATTCTGAAGACTTATTTGAGATTAATTTTTTAAAAAAGCCATAATTAATTATTGATGTTACTGTGGACATAGAAAAGGGAAGTAGTTGTATGCAGCTAAAGTATTTTTTCATCGTTCGTCACCTGTAGAGTAGCACAGTTTATACATTTTACCTACAATATAATTTTACTGATTTATGGTCGCTTTATTTTTCACTACCATCCATGCTGTCATCTACCATGACCCTCTGCTTGGCCCTCCCTTATCATACAACACACTAATTTTCCTCTTCTTGCTTATAGTAACCATCTACTTCAGACAGTTCTTTTTATAATCATTTGGGGGAAGGATCCTTAACCCATTTAATTTATCTTTATGGAGAGACCATAGTTTGTCACTCTGAATAGCTAGATATCACAGGGATATAAAGAATCAAAGTTAACATACAGGAATAAAAAGTAATTTATAGTCACAAAGAATTGAGTTATGGTTACCATAGTAACCTTTACTATGAACATTAAGGCTTTCTAAGGTAGAAAACTCAACCATAATAGTACAGAAACATAGCTTTTTCATGCTTAATAAGCCAGAGATATTATATATCATAACTGTGTGCAATAAATTCCTTCTGTGGAGTAAAGAAACCTCTAAGATGGTAAATCAGCAATTTTTAAGGGTTGACTAGCTTCTTCGAAATGTCCTGTGGGCAGAAAACCAATATACCTACTACTGCAAACTGTCTATTGATATCTCTGTAATAAGAGAAATAAAAATAAACATTTGGACATATAATAGTCTTGGAAATAAAGACAAATTTCTAATGAAATCAGAGAACCTGAGAGTTGGT